TGTAAAGAAACCCAATATAAGAGTAAAGCTACTGGACTGTCTTCTGTGAGTTTTTTTTTAAAAGGCAGAAACAGAAACCTCTCATGTCTAGTTCCCTTCTTCCAGGGATATTTTTCTTTTTCCTTGGTTGCCTTAATCTGCATAATTGCTTATTAGGATTAACAGTTACCAGGTTTCCTCTCAATCAAAATCTAAAATTATGAATTTGGTAGGAATCCATGCTAACAATATTAATTCATAGAATTTGTATTTTGTCTATTCTATATACAATTTTGGACAGTTTACAACAATATCCATAGATTTAAAGTATTGATTTAAAATAACAGAATAACATAGTTGGAAGGGATCTTGGAGATCTTGTAGTCCAACCCCCGACTCAAGCAGGAAATGCCTATACTTTTTCAGACAAATGGTAGTCTAATCTCTTTTTTAAAACCCTCCCATGAGGAGCACCCACAACTTCTAAAGGCAAGCCATTCATTCCACTGATTGTTCTGTCAGAAAATTTCTCCTTAGTTCTAGTTTGGTTTTGTCCTTGATGTGGGGTAGCAACTCACTCATCTGGATGGATTTAGGAAGTCATTGTCATATCACTAGAAGAGAACAGTCAGCATGTTTCAACCCGTTTTTCAGTAGTTTGGGAAATTTAAGATAATTTTAATGTGTGGATAAACATGTTTCACCGGCACTGGTCCTTTGCTTGTATTATCACCTGTGTTTTATTATTTTTACCTAAAATTGGACTTTGGACAGAATTAAGACAATTTGTTGTTAAATTATGGTGGCGTGATTTTGATCCATTTTCTCTAGTTTTGGAGCTTTTTATATGGGAATGTGAGCGTTTTAGTTTATAGAGGGCTTGTGCTCCTATTTCTCTACCATTACTCTCCTAGTTCTTAACACAAAAGTCACACTTGGTGCTTTAAGCTGCCTAAATGGGTGCTTGAGGCCCCCAAAGAGCAGAATAAATTCCAGTGCAACAACAGCTGTAATAAGCAATAAAAAAGCAAGGGGTTAAATCAGTACATCAATATATATCAATCTATCAGAAAATTTAGCTTCCTAGAACTGAAGATTTTCTCAACTTTTAGAAGGATTTTAGTGAAGAAATGAGATCATTTCCAAGTGAATATAATCCAAGAATGTAGGTGCATTCGCTTAGAAAGGTCACCAAACAATTCATCAAAATAAACTAAAGGCCTTCAAATACAGTTTCAATAGGCATTAGGTCCAGATTGAAAAAGGGGTTCCTTTAAATGTATAGATGATAAACCATTTAGGATTTTGGAGATCATCTGTAGCAGTGTGAATTGTAGCCTAGAAACAAATTTAAAAGCACAGTAGCTATTTTAGAAGATCAGTCCTACATTCTCAGTGCAGTGTCTGCTAACATTTGGGCTGCTACATTTTGGGCCAGTTGTAGTTTTCAAGTTCTCCCTGAAGTTGGTTTTGGTATAATTTACTGCAATAATCCAGATATGATGGAACTGAGGCAGATGTCAACAAATTTGTGTCTCTGAGACTAGGTGAGGTTGATAAATCAGTCTTCAAATGAGTTGATCACTTTGTGTGACAGGAATTCTTCAAGAGATTTAAAAAAAAACCAGTTGGACTTGTCAATATCTAGGTGCAAGTAATCCCAATAGTTACTATAGTTCTGCAAAAGTCTGGATGCATTGATCCTATGTCCCAATAAAATAATGCTTTATTTCTGATGTTCTATCTCTGTTCAGTTTCTTACTCCAATTCATCCTGGTTCCATCCTGCAAAAATAATTAGATCCAAGAACAATCAATAAAAGCAGCTACAGTACCAATGTAACTAAACCCCTAACAAACATAATGGACAATGTATCTCTCTCTCTTGAGAAGTAAATCTCTTGCAGAGTTGCTTCTATATTGTAATTACAGGTAGTCCTCAACTTGAAAGTTACAATGGCACTGAAAAAAGGTGACTTTTGACTGGTGCTCACACTTAGAACCATTGCAGTATCCCCATGGACATGTAATCAAAATTTGGAAGTTTGGCAACCAACATGAATATACAATGTTTGCAGTGTCCCATAGTCACGTTATCGCCATTTGCGATCTTCCCTGTCAGCTTCTGATAAGCAAAGTCATTGGGGGAAACTTAATGACTGCAGTGATTATAATCATGACAAAAAAGGCTGTAAAATTAGGCATAACTCACTTAAAAACTGCCTTGCTTAGCAACAGAAATTCTGGTCTCTATTGTGATCAGAAGTCAATATCTTCAATGCATTTTGTAAGTTGCTTGAATTTAGTTTTTTCAAAGTAAATGCATTACAGAATTACCGGGATAGAGGCAAAAAAAAAGGGGGGGGGAATTGACAATAGTAAGGAGGTGAAATTTCAGTTCTATTTGCTGCATTGAACTTAAGCGTTTACCAGCATTTAAGGCATCTGGCTATTGTCTAATGATTTGAGTCTTCCAAAGTTTAAAAACAATTGCGGTATAATTGAAATATGAAGATTAAGAAGCTAAATAATAGTTTATACTTTTGGAATTAGAAAAACTTTATTTTTGTGCCTAACAGGTCAATGTACGTAATGGAATGACTCTTCATGACTGTCTTATGAAAGCACTCAAAGTTAGAGGTCTGCAGCCAGAATGCTGTGCTGTTTTTCGATTACAACACAAAGGGTAAGAATTTGAATTAAGTTGAATATAAATAATTTCTTCCCATGAATTTATTTAAGATAATATTTAGCATATTTCATTTCATATAGCAGTTACAGATTCTTCTCTTAAGACAGGACTCTTTTTTTTCTTTTTCTTTTTACAAATCGGCTATGTTTCTTGCTTTAGGTATTCCTCTGCCTTTTATAGGACGAGATCAAATAATTCTGCACCAGGCTGCTGGAGAGGATAACTTCAGCCCCTCTAAGGCTTATACTGAAGGCCACATTAAGCCCAATTCATGGATGATGTCAGTTTCCTTTCTTCTCCTGAATGTGTATTCCAGATAACTTAAGCTTCAAGTGGTTATATAGCTGCTGCAGCACCATCTTTAACAAAGTTAGTCAAGATGCCAAAATAACAGATACAATGACATCAGTACGGAAGTGCAAACATTATGTGTTTATATACTGTACTGATCGCTGACCTAATTACACAATGATGGTATTTGTATGATGATGTTTCATATGTTTTATCACGTGCCACCTTTGGCCTCCGGGCAGATATCCACGGACAATATATTATCATGTGTATCTTAGGGTAGTTCTGTTTCTAACAATTATCTGAAATAAATGAAGTTTCCAAATTGTTTTTTGCATAATTCTAACATCTTTGGAAAGTAAAGTGCTTGCAGATATTTAAGAGATTTTATTTATTTTTGTAGTAAAAAAGCACGATTGGATTGGGGTACAGATGCTGCATCCTTGATTGGAGAAGAATTACAAGTTGACTTCCTTGATCATGTTCCACTCACAACACATAACTTCGTAGGTTGATCTTTTTGTATTATAAAACTGGAAATGCTTTTTGGAAAGCAATGCTGCTAGATTTCTATACAGACTTTTATCCTATTGTCTTCTTACAAAATAAACATGTAAATCAGAAAGCTATAATATAGAGTTTTCTGGTCTTTCCAATATTGATATAAAATGAACAGTTTTGTTCACTAGTCTTGTAGTATAGTGTCTTTTTCTTTCCTACAGTTTTTTCTTGCTTGCATTGGACAATTTTCCTTGCAAGATTAAGAATTATCAAGTGCAGTTTAAAAAGTCTCCTTTTTTAATGTCCATTAATGTCCATTAAGACATTAGTTAGATTTTATACCTAAAGTAGTCAGGGGTGAACTACAGAGTTCCTCCTTTGATCCGTGCATCAGTGTCTACATTGTTCGAAAGTTATTTTTTAACTAATGGAAATAACACAAACTAATTTCCTTAACCACTTAATATTTTTTCCATTCTTCATGCTCCTTTATAGTTCTTAGCAGCAAATTTGTGAATGGGTTTTCCTGGTGCATATATACATATACACATATACACATATACATATACATACACATACACATACATACGCATATACATACACATATACATATACCTCAGTAGTCAAAGATATTCTGACCTTCCTTGCATGAAGAAAGAGGCAGAAAATACACTAATTTTTGTTACATTATGATCCTCTAGGCACCTGAATCATTGCAGTTGCTACGCTTAATGCTTCTTCCAATTTTGGTCTAATGATTGTAACAGAACACTCTCACTAATCAAGTACAGGCATTACAAAATGAAAGTATGAAGGGAGCGTGGGACATGCCAGCTTCAGCTCTTTTTTCTGAAACTTCTGAAAATTGGTGCGAAAGCTGTAAAGAAAGACACTAAAATTTTCTGACCATGCAATCCTCTGTATGAAATGTGTAGTTCTCTGTATGATGTAAAAGCCCTTGTCATCAGTTTATAAAGATTGGAACACACAATTTCATGATCCTTTCTCATTTAGTAATGCATTCATTGGGCTAGGATATATAAAGATACTCGAAAGTATTTTTTTTTAATCCATCTGTAAATTTAGCACAGCTTAGACTCCCTGAAACCTATGTCCCCTTGGGTATGTTGAACTTCAAAGAATCTTTGAAATTGATATGGTACATAGTGAGAAGAAAAGGTAACTGTGATCAAATGCAATATGTACTTAATTTTTTGGGGAGGGGGAGGAATTAAAGAAAAGTTTGAGAATTTCTTCTCTGTATGATATACATACAAACAGATAGAAAACTGTTTGAGTATTTATTTGTTTCTGTGTGCTTATTAAAATTTGATCACAATGCTAGAATTTGCTGATTGTTATAAAAGTTCAGTGCCCATGAAAATATACTGAAACTATTTGAAAATATAAACTAAAGTTAGTTTTTGAAAACACATTTATTGAAAGTTGTTTGCTCTTCATAATTGTCAACATAAGTGACAAACAATTGCAATTGTTTTCTAGGCACGGAAAACATTTCTGAAGCTTGCATACTGTGACATCTGTCAGAAGTTTTTACTAAATGGATTCCGATGCCAAACCTGCGGTTACAAATTCCATGAGCACTGCAGCACAAAAGTTCCAACTATGTGTGTGGACTGGAGCAATATCCGGCAGCTCTTGTAAGGACTTGTTGAAATAATGCAGAACCCTGATTGCTTTAAAAAAAGAAAAAGAAAAAAAAGCTGGTCACCCTATTATTGAAATGCCTGTTTGATGATTCTCTCCTAAACTTCTGTATAAAAAATGCAGAGAATTTTTCTGAAACTTTAAACTATTTTATTTGATGTTGGCATTTCATTTGCCTAGTTCCTATCTAATGCCTCAATCTGTGATGCAGTAACTGTGTGCACGTCATTTTAATCATGCACTCTAGCTACATCTTTTGTACTTTTTATTTGTCCTTAGTACACCTGGCAGGAGTTAGGCTTTGGTCTATATTTGTTGCCAGTGCAGTTTCCCTAAAGTATTCAGTTGTTTGTTTTTCTTTTGTTTTTAATTCTGGTGCTTGTTTCAACAGGTATTATCAGGAATGGGGAAAAGTATTTGTAAAATTAGCTGCCCCTCCCATTTGTTTAGAATCTTTGTCATTTCACTCACTGCTGCAAATTTACAGCTAAATTTATAGTGTATAGTGTGTGCAAAGCAAAGTACTTACATAGAATCTAAAAACAACTTTTAATTATAACAACTTTATTTTATAGTCTGATTCAGCCAACATGGAAAACCAAAACGTGTTTTATTTGATTTTGGTGTGGTGAATCCAATCATAGTGGTTTACAGATTGTGATATATAGCTTTCCATGTTTTAGCTAAGCCAAATGTAATTTGTTCAGTAAACTATAATTAAAGAACCAGTGAGCAAGCAGGTCTACTAGTCCTTTGGTAATTTTTTTACTGTTTTCTTTGCCAGGTTTTTTTTGTCCTAGTTCTGACATTGTACTAAAGATCTCTGCTAAAGCTAATATGATTCTTGTGATAGAATAACAAGTTGCTCCTTTTGCAAGGAATCTGCAAACACATTTAAAATCAAAATGGTTTGCTTTGAGTTCAGAGTGGCTGTTCTGCATTCATTATGTGTTGTTTCAATCATTTTGATAATTTTTGGAACTTGAACCTGAAATAGCATGTTTCCAAGTAACTGTTAGGAGAGCCTCAAATTCAAAGTTATTTGAATCCAAAAAATTTTCCATAGCCCTTTGTCATTTTTCAGTTATTCAGTCACTTCCAACTTGGTGCTATCATTTCACCATGATTATCTGTCAGTAACTGTTTCTTTGAATTCTTATAAGCTCATGTTTGTGTCATCAGTGATAGTATGTGTCCACCTGATACCTTTCTCCCAAATTATCCAAGGTAATCTAACAATTTTCTCCAGTAACTAGAGTTCAGAAGCATTTCTTTGTTCAATCTTTTTGATGGTCCAGCTTTCAGAGTAGCATTTTACCACTGGGAAAGTCAAGGCCTTGATTTGTACCTTTGTGGCCAATTTGATATCTCTGCACTTTAACATTTGATTTAGGTCTATCATCATCTTTCTTTCAAGTACCAAACAACTATTTTTACTCCATATTTTGCTTGTACTTAGTTTCTTGGTCATCATAAAAATACTTCAAAAGTTAAATGAGTTGGACAGGTACACCCATGTTTTTAAGGGCTATTTATAATTAGTTGTGATCTTCACAGTCAAAAGCCTTTGTTTGTATAATAGAGAAAATATAAGCATCTTTTTTGGAATTCTCTTGCCTTTTTTATTATCCATCAGATCTTAGCAATATGATCCTGAATGCCTCTGATTTTTCTGAATCCAGCATGTTCATTTGGCAGTTCATGTTCCATCTATTGTTGAAACCTAGATTGTAAAATCTTCAGCATTATCTTATTGGCATGTGAGATATGCCAATAAGATAATGTATTGTAGTGTGAAAGTATTGTAGTGTGAAATTCTACAGATTATCAAAATTGGAAGATAAACAGATATTTCTCAATCTTTGGTTATTGCTGTGTTTTTGATAACCAGTTAAAAATCATATATAGTTTTTATCTGCATCATTTTTACAAATTTTAAGTAATTTGATTATTTTATCAATTTCTGCAGCTTAATTTAATTGTTAGCAGTATTTTCTAAAACCCATTTAAATTCACTTTCCAGAATATCTGGTTCCAATTCAGTAATCAAACTTTTGTATATTTGATTTTTGGATATTTTTTTCTATAGTTCTTCCATATATTTGGACTATTTTTTTCTTTATATTTTCTTTCTTCAGTAGATCTTTCCTTTTTTGTTTTTTTTTATTATGCCCATCTTTGTTTAAAAGTTTTCCTTCATTTTTGTAATTTTGTTTCTTAAATCTCTTGTCTTTCCCATTTTTATCCTCCATTTGGGGAGGCACTGTTTATTTAAATGTAACTCCTTGTCTCTTTTTGCTCTTCCCTGTAACTCAGCATTTAGTTAGGTAAAGTTTCCTTTTATTTTTTGCCTTCTGCTATTTTTAATGTGTCAAACAACTGTTCCTTTTGCATTTTGGGGTAGTTTTGTCTGTTTGATCTATAATCATATCACAAATTTCACCTCACTATTCTTCTTTTTATCAATTGAATCCCTTAAACCTATTTGCTTTCACTCCATAATCATAATAGGATATTATTCTGAGATGTGGAGGTCTTATAGTTGCTTTGATATTATTTTAGGTTGTGGGAATGAAATATTGCTATAAACATTCATTTTTCTTGGGCCTAACTCTATTGCTTTGTTTTGTTTGAGGCTAAATTTTCTCATTATTCCAGACACTGTTTTATTTCCAATTTTGGCATTCCAGTCATTTATAATTTATAATGAATCTCTTTTTGGTTTTGTGTTGACAAAGTGCTGCAAGTTGTCACAGAATGTTTGCTTCCTCTGCACATGTGGTTGGAACATAGATTTGGACCATGCAGTAGAAGGCTTGATTCTATGAAGTATCATTCCAGGAAGTTTCAATGTGCTGATTCCCAAAATTCAGTGTTCAGTCTTGTTGATGTTGCTCTGTTAACATCAAGTTTGCCTTGGTTTATGGTTGTGATATTTCACATACCAATGGCACACATATTTTGCAGCACTGAACTTTTTCTTTTGCCTCTGGACACATCCTTTTGGCTTTAATCTAGCCACACAATAAATATTGGTGCTACTTATACTTGCAATATGCTCTTCTCCAGGAGTTTATTGCTGATCTTCTAATCAGGGTATCTTGTCTTTTCAGTATCATATTGATATCTTGTGGTTGCGAATGTCCATGTAGTTTTCTTGTCAGGGCACTAGAATAGGTTACCGTTTCTTTCTCCAGTGGATTGCATTTAGTCTGATTCCCTTTTTTATGACTTTCCTGTCATGAGACCCTTCTGGGAATGAATATTCCAATAGCATAGGCTCATTGCATTATTCAGCTATGCAAGCCTCTTCACTATTACATAGTAACAATCCATGAAGATGCACATCTGCATTCTACAACTTACATACATGTGCTATTACTTTCTATTTAAGTATAAACAAGGCTGAATAGTAAATTAAGAAGAAAAAGGGAGAGAAAGAGATATGAAGAGTGAAGCAGTTGAAGATTGAGACAATCAAGATAAATATATAAATAAAAGAAGATTGGAGCACGTGAGATGACATAGCAGGATTCTGTTAATAAAAAGTGCACAGCTCTATACTTCCAAACAGAAGCATTTTGTCTGTATTATCTGTTCAAAGATATAGTTTTAATTGTTTATAAGAACTGATTCTCAAGATAAATGAGAACCAGAATATAGCAATCCTTATTCCCTTCCCTAAGATACTATGCTATCACGAAAAAAATGAGAAAAGATTGTATTGGTAAAAGAATTCTAAGTTTATCATGCTAAGTTGTACTTTGCTTAATCATGTTTTGCACAATATCTTCTAGGTATGGCATACTGTCCCGTGCAAATGCATTTTTAAACTTAAATACTGTATCAATTGATTATAATTTTTCCTAAGATGATTTTTTTTTTTTTGAAGAAAACACAGCTGTCCTGGTTGAAATGTTAAGATCTCTTGAACTCAGTAATTTTATCCTTTGGATGTTTTGATTTTAGATTATTTCCACATTCAAATGTTGGTGATAGTGGTATCTCAGCACCTCCTTTGATGACTCGGCGAATACGTGAATCTGTGTCTCGGATGCCTGTTAAGTAAGTGGCCCTTTAAGTTGTATTGTGTTAGGTTGTTACTGTTTTTGACAACATTCATAGCAGTAATGACATAAGCTGATATTTTAAAAAATTGTTACGAATTTCTGGGCATGTTTCATGTGTGTAAAATGGTAAGGTGTTTTGGAAAGAACACTTCATCTCAAATTGATTCACTTCTTCGGTAACACTTCAGGCTGTCTGCAAAGGAGTATATAGCTTTGCACAGTCACTATAAGTTAAGAAGCGATTCCTTTTGCCTCTCAATCTAAAGCAATAAGTACTTCCACTTCACTTCTCCTCACCCACCTCTCTCTGCTGGACTGCCTGCTGCATCACCCCATCCACTGCCACCCCAGCACACTGCATGTCACTACCAGCTGTGCCCTTCTTTTGTGCCACCACAGCCAGGGCCCTTTTTTGTGTCCAGGCCTGGGCCTTTTTCTGGGAAAGAAGGCCCCAGCCAGTAGTGATGCACAGTGCATACCTGCCCAAGCTCCCCAACGCCCACCACTCACTGCACCTGCCTCCTGTCCACCACTCATAGTTCTCACCCCTGGCATGTGGGACATAGCTAGGATGCTCCTCCATATGTGGAGGAGGGGGATCTCTGGTGTAAAAAACCAAGATGGATTAGTTGTGAAACTATGATCATTTTCCAAAATAACTTTTTATTTCCTGGAGAAGTATATTATAAAACTTATTATTCTTAAATAGGTTCTATAGATTCTCACAAGTTAATGCTAATCTCTTTATACAAAAGCATGCGTCTATAATTTTGTTTTCTCTCCTTAGTTCTCAGCATAGATATTCTACACCTCATGTCTTCACATTCAGTGGAACAAATCCTTCTCCTGAATGTTCCCTTTCTCAAAGACAGAGATCCACTTCTACCCCAAATGTCCACATGGTCAGTACTACTA